CCAAGCCTGCAGCCTGTTAGAGATCACACACAATTGATTATATGCCTCTAAGTATACATGGTTGAATATTTCCTAATACAAATAACTACATGCAGTATTCTATCATATGCAAACTTATATCACTAAGAGATTATACTGACTACTAAATACAATTTCCTCTTGACAGTACCTTTAAGCTTGCTTCCTTTGTTTAGCACTTGAATAGCCTCTCATTCAGCTTGGTAGGAGAAGATGGGCAGGAAGTAAGAGGCTGCCATGTTTGGTCTCCCTGCTGCTTGTTGGATATCTGCAAAGTGCCTCTTCAGGCTTCACTCTGCTTCTTTTCAAACTCTTGACCGGTCCATGTTCAGGTGCTCCAGCATCCGTCAAAGATCTTCAAGAAGTCGGAAATTCCTTCACCCCGCTTTTGGCCCCGTGTGCAGACTACAGCTGAATGGATGTTGGACGTTTAATTAGTTGAATTAATTACATTTACTTTGAAAGCTAGTCTGAAAGGCATGTTTTGAGCATGAGGGGTTAAAAAGCAACATTAATGACTGTGCTGCTGTTTCAAGTTTTTCTTTTCTATTTTTGTAAGAATTTGTGTTTTTTGTTTTTATTCAGGACAAAGTAAAAAGATACTTCACAAGACTACAAAATACTACACAATCATATTAACAGACACTCACTGAAACATTTAGATGGAGTTAAAAAGCTAATGGTACAAAGATCATGTAGGTGTTAAATAACTGTTGCTGCTGCTGTGGATAGTTCTGTGAATGCGTACTGACAGTAAACCGTTCTGCTAGATTACAGCAAGATGTTTGGTCTTTAAGGTTAACATGACACACAGCTGATTGATGTTCAAACAAACATAATCCTCTCAAGCATTCAGAACATGCAATGCAGCCAGGAGTGGAAGTGGATGACGGCTCCGAGGTCACTTTACAGGCTTGTGGTAAAGGTAAGGCATGGATACCTGAACCTCTGAACCCTGTACAACACTACAAAGAAGTAATATTTATGTCCTGATATGTAATTTATTTTGAAATCTTAAACTTTCATTTACATTTAACCTTTTGTATTGTCTATATTGGTACCTAACGTTCTGTTTATTTTAGTCTTTTGTGTACAGGGCTTTGTGACTGCCTGTCTATGAAAAGCGCTTAATAAATAAAGTTTACTTACTTACTAGAGCAGTATTCTACAGTTGCACATGTCAGGAGGTCATCTCTTGCAGGTCTTAAAATTAGATATATACAACTTAAGGTGAACCACACGACATATTACATTGAGTCATTTTTTTAAACAAATATTAAGAATAAATGCAGAAGCAGTGTGTCAAAAACTAAGTACACCCTCAGCTGCTGCTGATCAAATACACTTGAGTGACAGATTATCAACAAGACATAAAAGACGCATTCAGTGAAAACCAAACACAGGTTGTCTCATAGCAACTGTCAGCATGGTGGTGGAGGGGTGATCTTTGAGTTGAACAAGAACTTCTCTACATACTAAAAGATTTGAGTGTCAAATATAGGGAATAGGAATTGATACGAATTTAGCGATTCCGATTCCATTATCAATATCGCTTATTCTCTTTGGGTGCACTTTAAGAGTCACCACCATCGCTAAGCAGCACAGACATTACATTCCTGCAAATCAGTTGCCTGCTGTATGATCAAATGTTTGTGCCGATCACTGTTTTGGTCATTACTCAATAAAAATAATGTATTACACATATTACCCAGAACACTGACCTAAAGTAATGCAGTATGTTACTCAGTTACTCCCATGAGAAAGTAATCCATTATACTACTTGCTACATTACTTTCAGATTTCTCTGTAAAATGACCTGAAATACAATGTCTCATAATTACCATTTAACACTATAAACCGACAGACCACAGTCCTACAGCAAAAATGAAAACCAGCACAAAGAGACTAAAGCGCTCGTCACAGTGATTCTACTTTAAAAACATGAACAGGTAGAAACGGGAGCTGCACACTATCTGCTCATTAGTTTTGTTACCTGTTGGATCTCAGGGTCTGGCTGTTGGGCTGGGGTCAGCATTCACTCAGCTTTATCACCACTCTGGGTTCTTAGCTAGCTTAGTGTTAGCATGCTACCTGTGCAGGTGCTTGTAAAGAGCCAAAGTTGTGTTAGCAGCATAATGCAGTTGTTTCTGTCCTGGATGCAGTTTGCACTTCACCATTGCACTCTTGCCTTTTTGTGCAATAAAAAATAAAATGTCCACATCAATGCTGCAGAATATGGCACTATTTTACACTATTGTATTTCACATACAAACTGAAATCAGCTGATGGTAGCATAAGCACAAGTGGTGATAAGCGGGATCACTGAACTCAGCTTCCTGAATTGTTTTTACAAGTTTGTGTTCTGAGTCATAAAGGATTATTTTCTTTAATAAGTTCCTACTAATCTTGTTGCCTTTATATTGCCTATATGAATGCAGAAACACATCCACTGCATGTCGCACTAATCCTGAAATTCATAAACGTACAAGTGGGTATTGTAAAAAATGCTCATAAAATAATTTTTCCAGCAGAATCTATAAAGCAGATATCATCTATTGTGCAATATTTTGCAGAGACGCCTCGGTTCACCCTGTGTATCCATGCCTGAGAAAGGGAGCAAGGTGTTTGTGTCAGAGCTGATCATGGCACACCTGGTCAAACACCAGTGTGTGCGTGTGTGTGTGTGCAAGGGTGAAAACAAGCGTTCAGTTACTCTGGTTGCAACAAAATTTACTGCCACTTTAGTAGGTCGAGATCGTGTTGTTACTGCTTCCTATATGTGACTCTGTTGTAACAGACAAACTAACAAACTCGTTCTTTATTTTTAATGTAAGTTGGAACCACAATCAGGTCCATAAGTTTTTGAAAAATGACACAGTTTTTGTAATTTTACCTGAACCACCACAGTAGATTTTTTATTTTCATACTAAGTTCCAGTTTCAGTTTATTGGTAAGCCCATGACCTTCCACACATTAATATTGTACAGTTTAAATAATTACTCTCTGAAGTGAGATTATTATTGCGTGTATCTATTGTCCATCGCATATACTCAAATGTAATGATCTCCATTCATGAGGTGCCATGGTCTTTTTCATGGTTCTTGGTTATTGTTGTAAAGCTGCATCTGAAAGCTCGGTTTTACTCTATTCCCTGTTTTCAGTTTACTACAGCTCTTTTTTTCTGTTTTTATTTCCCTTCATATCCCTACGGTTACGGTATTGACTGATTTCCCCAGTGCCATTTAAGGACTTTTATTTTGTGTTAATACCCTTCTACTTCTACCGTTCTTCCAGCTTCCCCCTTAGTAGGAATTTAATTTTTTCCAGTTGCAAATGTCTCATTACATCTTATTAATGCTGATTTGATAGGAGGCACTCTTTGCTTCCAGTTTAGTAAAATTAAACAGCGTGCTAGCAGCGTCACAAAACGTATTACATTATTTTGGTTGGTTAACAAATCTACAACAACCGGCTTCACTCCAAATAAAGCGCAAATTGGGTCTGGCTTAAGTGTTTTTGTCAGAATCTTAGACAAGTTTTGAAAAACATTATTCCAATATGTTGTTATACAGGGACAAGTCCTAAACATATGCGCCAGTGAAGCAGGTTGCTGTTTACATCTTTCACAGGACGAGTTTACATTGGGGAACATTTTTGACAGTTTCAACTTCGATAAATGGAGTCTATGCAGCACTTTAAACTGTAAGAGTCCGTGACGGATACATACAGAAGAAGAATGTACATTTTCTTGGGCTTTTGTCCATTGTGATTCTTACATAAGGTCCTTCTGCCAGGCATCTTTCAGATGATCAAGCGTAATAGTTCCATCCAGTTGTGACAATATATTGTGAATTTTTGTTATTAGTCCTTTTTTGAGTGGATCAAACTGGAATAAGTTATCTAAGGTAGAGTCTGGGGGTCGATCTGGAAAGGATGGAGACTCTTTACAAAGCTTCTGATCTGTAACTATTTAAAGAAGTCGTTACTATGCAAGTTAAATTTTTCTTGCAATTGCTGGAATGTGGGAAAAACCTGTGTGTGCCTGTTTGTCTGTGTCTATATGTCAGGTTGGGTGTCAGACGCCA